ATGATTTTTCATCCTTTTGATGTTTCCTATTGTCACTCCCCCAAAAGCTTAACGTACTCTTTGAGGGGGGTAGGTAGTCGAGTGAGTCATGATCATGTAAAGGTTAAGCATGAGATCCCCTCGACACTGAACTGTGTGCTTATGCTTGCCATCCATTAATGCAATACAAGTAGCCTTTTGCTAATTTGTGTGCCATCTTTGTTGCATTTTCTTGTGTTGTTGCTTGTTGTTTAGGCTTATTCATCGCATTCGAGTGCCGTACGGGGTCCCAACGACTAGTCCCGTGACAATTAGGCACCACATCAGCATAATAGTGAAAAAATGCCTAACCTGCCTAACCGTTGGGGGAAGCTTTAAAAAGTTACTTTCCCAAACGGTAGGCTTGCACATAAACCGAAGTCACCTTTTGCGATTTTCTATGCATACAGAAGAGCATGAGAGGAGAAATAAATGTTGAAGTGGTGCCTATGTGACAACATTTATTGAAAATTTGTCCACTCTTCCAAATACAAGCTATAACAGTTAGATCTAATTACCACATATCATCATATATATAGTTAAAACTTGCAGACATGCATGTGCTCTTTTACTAGTATACTACATGGGGCTAGCTTGTATTGGCTGGTTGTAGTGTAGAGAGTGACACTTGGGATTGAATTGACTTCCAGCTCTCCAAGATGAGCCCCACATGGACATCCTATAAGTAAAAATTAGAGAGCCCAATTTGGCGGCAAATCAGTCATTTGAAGGAATCCGGATCTCTTACACATTCATCCCTACACATCTTCCTGTACATCAAATCAGAGGGTGTGATGTCAGCACCCTCTCATGTGTGAATCTAGTATGTGCGAGTGATATTAACATAGATGTTTCAAACTTCCTCCCGTCATATTTTTATATATTAAAAATGATAGTAAATTTTAAATCAAATAAAAAACAGGGGTTAAGGATTTATTCTTCTCCTCTTTCTCCAAATCTTTCTCCAACAAACTGAATAACTCAACCAGAAAGAAAAACAGGGGATAACAATAAAGACTTCAGAGAACCGAATGCCTGAGACGATTATCACATCGTTTGCTCAATTTTGTTAAATATCGAGGCAACTCCACTTGGATCAACGTTCAAGGTATTGAACTGATCTTCTCTACCGATTTCAATACGTAGATTGGCAATAAAAATTTGAAAATACAGGGAATCTATCACCACTCATAGTTTTTTGTTAATTAGACTCAACAACCAATTATTTCCACAATAAAAAGGGTTTGCAACTCAAATAAGCTAAAGCTGATTGTTTCAATATTTTTTTTTTAACTCTTATCCCCTGGTTTTCTTTTTCTTAGCGTTATCATTAGTTGGAGAATATTTGAGGAAAGAGAGAAGATAAATCCTTAACCCTTGTTTTTTATTTGATTTAAAATTTGTTGTCATTTTTAATATATAAAAAATGTGATGGGAGGAGGTTTGAAACGTCTAACGGTCTAAGTATTAATATCACTCGCACATGCTAGATTCATGCATGAGAGGGTACTGACATGGCACCCTCTGATTTGATGTACAAGAAGATATGTAGGGATGAATGTGTAGGAGATCCGGACTCCATTTGAAGGACTGTCCTTTTTGGCTTTTTTAATAACTTATTTGGAGCATTTCAAAGCAACTGAACCAGCTGAATCTTCATCTCAACCCTCTCAGGCTGCATTTCTCATTCCTTATTTTAAGGATTTATCTCCTTTTTTTCTATTAAAAATTCAATATCTATAAAGATATTTTAACTAAAAAATGCACTTTCCTATCACCTAAATAATCTCTTCTCCTAAACTACCTCCCAAACTTTATCCAAAATTATCTCTCCTATTTATCTTCTAAATTATCTCTAATTCCTATTTATCTCCAAAATTATATCTAATTTAGTAGAGAGTTTCTCATAAATTATCTCTAATTCCTATTTATCATCTCCCCTACTTTTTATCTATATCTATCTAAAGAAAGTTTAGATTAAAAAATTTAAGAGCTATTTAAATATTCTAACAAAATTATATAATAACTTTAAAATATTTATTAAAAACAAAAAAATAATTTTATATATTTACAAAATAAATCACAAAATTATGTACTAACAATTTAAATTATGTTTATCTGGATTATCAATTTAAATGTTTTTCAAATATTTAATAATATGTAATAGCTTTAAATAAATAAAATTCAAATAACAAAAAAATTTAGATATTTTATAGATTATTTAAATATTTAAATAACTAAATATTTATCATATCTATATTTTAAATAGTTAAAAAAAACAAAATTAACTATTAAATAATTTTATATTTTTATAAAATATATCACGAAATTATGTACTAACAATTTAAATTATGTTTTTCTTGATAGTCAATTTAAATGTTTTTYGAATATTTAATAATATKTAATAACTTTAAATAAATAAAATAAAAAAAACAAAAAAAATTAAATATTTTATAGATTATTTAAATATTTAAATAACTAGATATTTATCATAACTAGATTTTAAATATTTAAAATAACGAAATTATGTAATAAATTTAAAAATTTCTTTAAAGCAGGAAAATAATTATAACATAATATTGAAATTAATAATAATTTAATATATTACAAAATTAATAATGAAATTATGTAGTAATAGTATAAATTATTATTTTATGGATAATTAAATTCTCTAAATAACTAATATTTTAAAATTTAAAGATTTTACATATTATTTATGTATTTAAATAATTGGGTATTTTAAATAACAAAATATTTAACATAACTAGATTTTAAATAGTTAAAATAAAGAAAGTATGTAATAAATTTAAAAAATTTTGTAAAGTAGAAAAAATTATAGCATAATATTGAAATTAATAATAATTTAATATTTTTACATAATATTGTAAATAACTAATTTCATTTTTATCAAGTAATAATTCGAGATAATAACTTTCAAAAAAATTAATATTTAATAATAATCATAATTTTAAACTCTTAATTTGTATTTATTATATAATTTTATATACTCAAATTAATATTTATTGTATTTTAGTAATTATTTATTGTTTTTGTGATAAATGCATTTTCAATGATTATGTATAAATTTATTTTATTTTTTATTTAATTTATTGTATTTTTGTTATAACTTATTGATTAATATTTATTAGAGATTAAACTATTAGTTGAGATTATACTATTTATTGACTAAATTAATATATTTTTAGTACTTATTGTATTTTTTCATTATCAATATATTTTTAATAATTGTGTATTTTTGCTATAAATTTTCAGTAATTATTGGAGATTAAACTATTGTTATTTATCAGAGATGAGACTATTAATTTACTTGCAATTATGTGTGTTCATGAGTTGGTTTGGTTCGGTCATAGGCTATTTGGCCAACCAAATTGGCCTGGTCAAGTTGGGTAATTGGTTAGATGAAATCGACTAACATTTTTGTGAAAACCGACCCACTCAGGTTGTCTCTGTTTGGGTCGATTTTTTGGTTTGGTCAGTCGGTTTAAAATATTTAAACTTATAAATTAAATTAAATTTTAAAAATTATAGTGCAATTATTAAGAACATAAATTTAAAATTTAGATTTATGATATAAAATATTCTAGACTAAGAAATATGGGAAATTTCCCACTTTTCCATATCAAAATTTATATTTAAATTATAAAATATTAATATATATCCATGCTTAGGTCTTTCGATTTTGGTTGGATTACAAACGGTCAAGGTGAAATTGATACAACTTGGTTGAATTGGGAAATTTTTGAACCATAGCCGACCTAAAATACTAGAAAACCGACCAACTTGGGTCAAGTTGATCGGGTTGGCTGGTTTCATCAATTTGATGAATAAACGTAATCGAAATTAATTGTTGTTATTTTTGTATTATAAAAAATGATTAAAAGTAGTATATAAAATATAAATAATTATTAATTTTTATTTAAAAAGTTAAAAATATAAAACAATTGTATACTCTTATGTGATTCTATAGGGTCATTTACTAGAACACATCTTATAGTTTTATATATTTACTTAAACATACTTTATATTTTTCATTTTATTAAAACATCCAATATATTTTACAACTTATTTACTTAATCAACCTTTCATTAAGGAGTGTTTGTTTTACCATTAGGCCCATAATTTTTTATTCCAAAAATACCCTTAACATGTTTTTTTGTAAAAAAACAAAATTAACCAAATATAGCCAATAGAGTGGTTTATCGTGTCTTATAAAGGGCAAAAATGATATTTTTATTTTTATATTTTTTGATTAAATTTATTTAAATAAACATTAGAGTCAAAACTATCATTTTCCACTGTCATGTAATGGAAGATTGATTAAATCCATTATAAATTATAAGTGATGTTTTAGTAAAATTTTAATTATAGGGTAGATTATAGTAAATTCACGAAATTATAAGGGGTATTTTAGTAAATGACCATTTATATTATTTAGCTTTCGCTTAATAAATCACGTGCATTGCACGAATCCCCGCTAGTAAATCATTAAAATAAAGAATGTCAAATGAAGCCTTTAAAATGGGCATCTAATCAGATATTATTGGAATTTCTGGGGGATGTTTGTTGGTAGCTGACCAAGTGGGTGAACCAAAATGACTTATTATTTAAACTGAAGTCATATAACTAAATATTCTGGGGCATCAAGGCATGGTAATTAGGAGAATGGTAAATGACCGATAATGGTTGAAAGTTGAAATGACTTATTGCTTTGTCTTTACTCAACTCTAAATTTCCCTATATATTTTTTTTGTTATTTATTAAATTGTTTTATCTACTGAAATACAAGCAATAAATCCTTAAATTCAGCCCCTTATCCATTAAGGATGTATCTGGTTTGATGGAAAATACATGAGACAAAAAAAAATTGAGGGAAAGTTATTCTTATACTAACCAAACACATCCTACTAAGAGAAAGGGCAAAGTAGTCTTTAAGTAACTTGAGCCGTTATCGAACGGCCCATACTCCCAGTCCATAGGTTGCACAGCACAACCAAGGTAGATTGCAAAGCACCTGTGAGCTGACGGTAAGTCGGTAATCGTCTTCTGATTCTCCTTCCAAAGTTGAGCGCAGGAAGATAGAAACCCTAATTCTCACACATACGACCAGGAGGGAAAACTGAGAAAGCACGCTTGTGGAGGTGCGTCGATACTGCTCATCTACTAGACAATGTTTTTCTGCTCTTGTTTCACTTTAGGCACCATGATGTTATAAAAAAATGACGGCTTTGCCGTTGCTTCAATCGGCTATTGTTTATCAATAATGATTCTCTGATTTTCCTTTCTAATTTTGGTATTCTACTGTTCTCTGATTTTTTTTTTTTTAATCTTTAACAGCCTAGAATTATATACGTGAACTCTAGGGTGTTCTGCGAGCTCCATATCTGGTGAGTTACTTCTGCTTTGTTTTTGGCCATAAAATGCTAGTAAACAATTTATTCTTTGAAATGGTTGAAAACAAACGCTGGATCTTTCATTTGCTTATTTTCACGGTTGTTTTGCCTCTTGTTCGTAGCGTTTTGCATGTTTTAAGTATCTATAAGAGCTGTTATGACAAAATTTTAAGTATATGATTAAGTGTACAATGCAAAGTATCTGAAGATAAATAAAAAAGAAAGAAAAAGGCGTAAGCTTAAACAGTCTAGACTACAAGAAAGACATACATTGAAGATTGCAACCATTTCAAAGAGTCCATATTGGCATATGAGATATCCATTACGAGCTATTGAGCCTGTTCATTGAGCCTCAGTGCCCTTGCTTTCCATATTATTATTTTATTTTATTTTTTTTTTAACTTTCTTTATTTTTTTGAATCAATGACCACGATCAAATAGGGGTTATATTGATAAGAAAAGGAGAGAGAACACTGCTGCTAGAGGGTCTAGCAAACAGGGGTCAAATACAAATGGCTGTGTCAGTAAATTGGATACTGAGATTAGAATCAGCAGACTGCTTGGCTGACTCGCTTGACAAGGGGTCAATAAGGAACATATGTTTTGGGGAATTACCAATTTAAGCTGAATGTAAAAAGTCATAACAAATATGGAGGAAAGGGTTAGGTGGGATGATAGACTAGTATTTCCTATTGTACATAATACACTTTTTCACATTCAATAAAAATTAACTGCTTACGATAAAAAAATACAAAAGTACAACATAAATACCATATAACTGACCTAATCAGCAGGAAAAAAATAGTATTAGGTTAAAAAGACCATTGGGGTGGACTGGATACGGACCTAACTTTTGGCATTTTTTTTTTGCCACTCTTAGGCTTGAGTCCATGTTCTTCACTCTTGTCAGCCCAAGACTTTACCATTATACCAATCATCTGACCCCCCTAAAAATAATGGTAAGATAAAAAAATACAAAAGGTGGATGATTTCTAGGTTTTTCATTAAAACTGACCCAGCCCATGAATTTCTGGTTTTATGAATGTTTCATCAAGATTAGAGCTCTACTCAAGACCTCCAAGAACAGGAAATTCAACTTGAGCAGAGGTATGGGCAGCAATTACAGTTCTAAGAAGGGCAAAAGCACTGAATATGAAAGAAATAGATGTTGAAGGAGGCTCATGAACAATTATTGGGTGACTAAGTGGCAAACAGGATGTAGCCTATAACTAAGATATGTTATAAGCGAGCTACAAAGACTAATAGAGGAGCTACAACCAAAAGTGAAATGGGTTCCATGGGCTGCTAATGGACTGGTTGGCGAATTAGCAAAACATGGGTTTTCAAGACATAATTTGTATTGGGGCCAAGTTGGTCAAGGGATGATATAATCTCTTTATATGAAGGCTACCCGAGACTAACTTCCCTATATGGGCTCTCTTTGCTATGATGTACTCATTATTTATGGTATTGTCATAAAAAAAAATGAAACAGAAGGGGACTCTAAATTATTAATTGGGTGGATGCAGTCACACAATCTGGGGGTCTGGGTACATCGGCAACTCATGAGGGAAGTACATTGCTTAGCAAGGGAGGTAGGGGTACTGTTCAGGTGGACAAGGAGGTCAGCAAATGGATTAGCTGACACCCTGGCAAAGCAAAGGAACTTTCAGGGATAACTTGTTTTGGGCTGTCCTGTAATTTGAAAACATTCTTCTAAGGGTCAACACCCTTATTTTGGGTGGTGACAGTGTATCATGTTAAATATTTTCTAATGAAAGTTACCGTTTCTGATAGAGAAAAGAAAGGAAAATGAAACAGTACAATCTACAGTGATAGGAGAATAAAGGTCATGACAAAGACATCAAATAAAAGAAAAGGAATATAGAAAGCTATAAAATATTATCTGTGAGAGAAGACCCTATAGTCCAATTTTCCCTACCCCTCCCTTGGCTATGCCAGCTGCTATCCAATGAGTTGATTTATGTATCCATTGGAATGAGATGCTTGATTTAGAGACCAAAACTCTACCTTCCATGGTAAATTTTCTTATGTTCTGTGGGTCTGCAGTTTTTACAGAACTAATCAAATCACAATTTGGGAATCCCCCTTAAGGTCATTTTCCTGTTCGTGATTCATTTTATTTAAGCCTTATTTATTTCAATTTTATTTGGCTGTGTGGTAATTGCAATCCTCTAGTTATAAATTGCTATATGGATGTTGTTTGAAAACTAAACAAGGCAGTAATATCTTCACTGCTTTTGGCCTTTTAGGATTTGAGCTTTGGTTCAGTTCTTGTTTATTTTAATGCATAATTTGAAGCCGGTTTGTTTACATTTTAATAAGTTAAGCCAATTACCATGCTAAAAATATTGTCTTTTTCATTTCTTTATTTCTTCCTTTGGCTTGGTATTATCACTCCTCTCTCTCTCTCTCTATATATATATATATATATTTGCAGTTCCCATCTTGTTGATTTCCATCATGTTTTCCTTGCTGCAAATCTTGGTTTTGGTTTTATACCTCTGTTCTTTCCTTTTCTGTTTTGAAGGTTCTCTTTAATATCCCAACTTGATTTAAAGTGCATTTACTAATTCCATCAACTTGAAATTGTTATATGATAAATTGATGCTCATTTCTTAACCTTGTCTTGTTTTAAACTGCCACATCTTATGATTCATTGCTGTAAGTGTTCATATTGTTCTTCTGTTCAGTTCATGAAAGGATGAATTTTTGGAGTTATTTATGCTTGTCAATTGAATTGGAAAGAAGCTTGACATTTTTAAGCTTGAAGAAGAAAAAGATGGAAGTGTTTATTTCTTTCTGTCTTTTATTTTATTTTATGGATGAATAAATAGATATTAGAAAGTGTAAATAAGCTATATTCGTTATTATTGGCTGAATTTGAAAGAGGTTGGTTATTCGGTTGCAAAGAAATTGAATTAAGGAAATATTTATTTTATAGTTTTTGCGTCATATTTATGGTTTAAATGGATGAATTGTGGARGATGGTTTTACTTAACTAATTATTCTTGTAGGCTGAATTTGAAAGAAGCTAGGTTATTTGGTTATGAAGTAATGAATTTATGGAAGCGGTTATGTTTAGACCTGTTCATGGGCCGGGCTTTTGCTCTTCATTAACAAGATTTTTTCAGGCCCGAGCACGAGCCCGGCCCGACCAACGGGCCTACAACTCCCGGCCCAACCTAACAGAGGCTGAAATGCAGGGCGACTGAGTTCATTGGTGGTGCGGCTGGCGCCGGTGCTTGAGTTCGCCATCGCCGATGCTTGAGTTCACTGGTTCCTGAGAATATGCAACAATGCATGAGAATGAGAACTGTGAGAGAGACAAGAGAGAGAGGAATGGTGGAGAGAGAGAAGATTCACCGTCGGAAAGGTTGGTTGGATTTGCGCTGGTTATTGAGAGTGAGAATGAGGAGAGAAAGATAAAAGATGAAAAGAGGGAATAGGAAAGGTTAATCGGCTAGGGTTTACAATAAAATACAAAATGTCGGGTTGGGCCGGGCTTGGGCCGGGCTTTTGTGACAAATCCCGAGCCTGGCCCGTAAAATAGTTGGGCTCGGGCTTTTAGGCCCGAGGTCAAGCCTGCGGGCTAAAGGTCATGCGCAAGCCCGTCCGGGGGCCGGGTCGGTCTGTCGGGCTACCCGACCCATGAACAGGTCTAGTTATGTTGCATCTTTTTTTTCTTTTATGGTTTAAATAGATTAAATTTGAAGAAATGCTATGTGGATTTATTTAACTAAATATTTCTGCTGGCATAATGTGAAAGAATTTGGGTCATTTGGTTGGAATTGTGAAAGTGCTTATATATTATTGATAAAAAAGTGATTATATATTAATTTTTTCTTCCTTTCTCATCTTATGCATGGATTGATGTCAGACAAATATATTTTGGTTGTCTTTAGTTATTTATGCTTGTTGGCCAAATGCAAAGAAGTTGAATTGTGAAAAAGGGAATTATGGGTTGGTCCATTGGTCTTTTCTTCATGTTACAATATAGATTAGGTATCTTTTCCTTTTTGTTTTTTCATTTTTCCTTTAAGTTTTGCACAAAGACTTAATGGGTGATGGATTAATTATTGTTGAGAATTTCTTCTTTAAGGTAATTTTTGTGCGGGAATGCTATCTGGCCCTATTCATAAAGAATTCCTCACTGGCTTCTCTTATCTCCAGACAACATCTGCAATCTAGGGTCTCAAGAAATGTTCTATACAGATTAGTGTTTAAGTCAAGGTAACTGCAAAGACATTCTTTGGTTTATGGTGTTATGTTAAATATTGTGAAATTAAGGTTCCAGAACTGTTGTAGAATCTGATGCTTGTTTGTTTTTCTACCTTTTGTGGGCATGCCATGATTTATTGGGCTATGTTCAATTCTTCATTTGGATTTTAGGTCAATGGCTAGTATAGATTAAAGGTGGAAAGGTTTCTTCTTTTTGTTAATTGATTTGTATATTATCTTCAAATTTAATTTATCTTTTAGATAAGGGTGAAACTTGGAGAAAAAGGACAACTTTTTTTCTTCTAGATCCTTCTTATCTTTTTCTTGTTGAATTGATTTGAAACTTGAGGGGGAAGTAGAATCTTCACTGATTTGAAAAGTCTATGTTGACTAGAAGAAACTCTTATAAGAGAAAACTAGGATATTTTCTATTCTCAAAAAAAAAAAAACTAGGATATTTTGTGTATATGTCAGCTTTACATAATAAATTCTTTTTATGTTGTCAGCATAAAGTTATCAAGTTCTTAACTGTTATGTATTTATGTTTGTTAGATAGGATACTGGAATAGGATAAAAGCAATTTTTAGAGAACCAGAGGGCATAGAACCGGAAAAGGGAGAGGTTCACAGGTCAGAGGTTCAACCATGGTCAAACCAGAGGTTGAACTGTGATGACGTGGCATATGTGTGTGTATGGGTTCAAGTGCTGTTATCAACATTTTGAAGTTTCTATTCATGTTATGACCCGGATGGTTTCATAAAACCAGGATGGGTTCACCAGTTTTCCGGTTAAACCAGCCAGTCAGTCGGTTTTGACCAATTTTTTATGAATTACGGTTTTCAGTGTATAACCAAACCGGCCAAAGGGCCGCGTCACGGTTTAACTGGTTTGACTGGCTGGTCTGGTCCGGTTTTCTAAACAATGGACAAAAGGGAGGCTCCATGATGCTATATATATTTGTCAGATAAGATACTGAAATAGGATAATGTAAAGTAAGTTGGACAAAATAGAGGGAAAGGAGATTCAGATCAGAGAAAGGGGAAAGGAGGTGAGTTCAGGAAGAGTTTTCAGATCTAAGAATTAGAACAGCTCTTCAGAATTAAATAAATCACAACAGAAGAATTCAGATAGCAACTGGAGAAGAAAGATAATTTAAAGAGTAGAAATTAGAGGATATTTCAGAGCATAGTTGCAGCGACTAAGAGGAGTAGCAACAACATACAATAGAATAAGAAAGAGAAACACAGAGGAAAATAAAGAGAGAAGTGATTTATGTTACTCAGTTATAGCGAGGACGGATCTGGACATGGAGTTGCATATGAAATTTACACTGAAAGTTGAAGTATCTAGTACAATACGACACCCTTGTACATGTATCTGGGTATCTTGGGAAGAGATCACACCTTAAGGTTCTACAAACAAAAACTTTGCCCCTATTCCATATAGAGCCGTAAATGTAGGATCCATCTATATCCGCATCTGATCAGATTACAAAAACATCTGTATCTGAATCCTATCTGAAATTCGATATGTTGGACTCAGATCGGATTAGAATTTAATCTGCATCCGACTTATTGTGTTTAAAATAACAAAAAAAGTTTAAAAGTCTTAAAAAGTACTTATTTTTAACTTATACATGTATACAAAATGTGTGTGTATTCAGATATTGGACTTTCGGAGTCCGTCGACAGCCCCTATTTGATATTCAAAATCCTCCACCAGCTGATTACAAGTAAAACTTATTTATAGATGTAGGAAGGGGGGTCTTCCATCTCACCTTCTTGACTAAACAACAGTAGAACACTCTCAGAAGAGTAGAAACTTTAGGACGTTATTTTTTTGGTAATATATTAAGAAGTAAACTTTATTAGAAGAAGAGGAAAAATAGTACAAAGGAGGGGTGGTGACTGATGAGAAGTCACCAAAACACAGGTAGAAAATACACCAGTAAAAAACTTACATCATCATTCATCAACCCCCCAAGTCCAATTCTAAATGTTGACCAAAACCCAGAACTGAACGAATCCTTACCATCCTCTGCAAATTCTGGAAGAATTAAAACCTAAAGCAAGATTCTTTTTCCAGTAATTGAAGCAAGGTGATTGTGGCCTTTGTATTTATCTTAAAAAATTCTTTTATTTCTTTCCTTCCAAAGCTCCCGGTTTGTGGAAGCTGGGACATGATCACATAATTACTTTATGACATTATTACTTTAAAGAACTTTAGGACATAATTACTTCAGGTCCAAGACAACTCTGTGGCCCCACTAGATAGCTAACCAACAATTCCTAAAACTTTTAAAGACTCTGGGCACCTAAACAAAGAGAGTAAGACCTACTAGAAACTAGAAAGGTTAAACTTAAAAAAAAGTGACTCAAATCTGAAAGTCACTAGAAATTATGATGCTGCTCCTAGAGCCCAGACATTTGGGAGAATTCCATTTATCTTTTGCACGGGTGAAAATTTTTAGGTGCTAATTGCATCAGACCTCCATAAAGTTGCCTTAGGGGTGGCTTGGTAAGTGGGCCTTGGGGTGAAGGTCTGTGGGCTCAACAGTAAAAAATAGCCGATTTCTTCCAGGATCTGTCCCATACTACTACTACTCTCTCTCTCTCTCTCTTGTGTTTACACCCAAGTTTGAATGAGTAAATTAATGTGATGTGAATTGCAAATAGATTCCTAATGCCTACACTCCACAACCACACAACTAATACATATAAAAAATACTTTTACTGCATGAAAAATACAGGAAAAAGAAAAAAAAACAAAATAAAAACAGGAACCCCTTGTTTTGACTGTTTACATTCCCTCATTACAATGTCTATCAAATAAAAGTAATGATGGTTCTCCACCTTTTCCTGCACTTTCTTATAAGTGGGCCCTTGTCAGCCTGTGATCATCATTACTTGATCCTCCTATTGATTATAACTGAAAATTCTGAAATTTGAAGGGAAGAGTTATGCTTTATTCTTATGTTTACACTCCTCCATCTCAAGGTTTGACATTTCATGATTGGATAAATAAAGATCCTGACTGTCCTCACTGCCCATGAATCTCTATGTCCAAGAATTGGCAATTGTTGGTTTTATTGTCTTCTGCTACTTTGTCAAAATTCTATGGAAATGTTGGTATATATTTGATGAAAGGATTCATGTACCCAAATAAAATATCTTGTTCTTTAGGAACAAATTATTTGAAGTAACTAGTCTCTAATCGTTAAATCTTCTTACCCTCTTGTCCATTTGTCATCTTTGCTTGGCATTTTAACAGAGAAGCATTTTTGTCCCTGTTTTTTCTTCTTCCAAATTTCTATATAGTATTTGTTTGTTACTGAAGTTATAAAGAAGCCCTGATTTGTTTGACCATTTTCTTACAATATGGCTTCTCTATCCTGTAATTCTCTTTAAAGTCAGGTTCCAATTTGCCTGTTTCCCAGCCGACGCCATATTGTTGGGACAAGGCTTAGATGATGATGATGACCTATTTACCTGTTTCGTATTTTTGCTGTCTCAGATTAATCACTTATCTGTTTACTTAAATGGGTTATTTTTACAGTTTCTGTCAACCTAGAACAGACATAGCACTGAACATGGATGGTGGCAAGAGTTTTGCAAGGAGGGATCGGCTGCTTGAGATTGAGTCTAAGGTTCGAACATGGTGGGAGGAAAAAGATGTATTTAGAGCTGAATCCCATGAAAGAGCCCCTGAACCTGGTGAAAAATTTTTTGGAAACTTTCCATACCCATATATGAATGGGTATCTGCATCTAGGACATGCATTCTCACTGTCTAAGCTTGAGTTTTCTGCAGCCTATCATAGGCTTAGAGGTGCCAATGTGCTACTGCCTTTTGCTTTCCATTGCACTGGGATGCCCATTAAGGCCTCAGCTGATAAACTTGCCAGAGAGATCCAAAAATTTGGGGACCCACCTGCATTTCCTACTGCTATAGAGGAGCTCAGTATTAACACAGAACCAGAAGCAGAGGAGCCAAATGGAAGTGGGCAGACTTTTCCTGATAAGTTCAAGAGCAAGAAATCCAAAGCAGCTTCAAAATCAGGTGGTGACAAGTTTCAATGGGAGATCATGAGGAGCTATGGCCTCTCCGACAGTGAGATTTCCAAGTTCCAAGACCCATATCACTGGCTAACCTATTTCCCACCCTTAGCCAAGGAGGATCTCAAGGCTTTTGGGTTGGGATGTGACTGGAGACGTTCTTTTATCACAACTGATATGAACCCATTCTATGATTCTTTTGTCAGGTGAGCAAACTGCCTCCTGGTCATGATTTGATTGGGTAGGAAGAGCAAACTGCCTCCCATTTCTTCTTTCTACCCACCTCTTATTGGTTGGGMTTTCTTTGTTGCTTTACCTTTTGCACTATTTCCTGTATATTCAATCTTTTAGTGAGCTTCTTGTTACTGATAAGAAAATTTTCTTTTGGCAGGTGGCAGATGAGGAAGTTGAAGGAGATGGGAAAGATTGTCAAGGATAAGAGGTACACAATCTATTCTCCCTTAGATGGTCAGCCATGTGCAGATCATGACAGAGCATCAGGTGAAGGGGTTCAGCCACAAGACTACACTCTGATTAAAATGGAGGTGGCGCCACCTTTTCCCTCAAAGTTGAGAGCATTGGAAGGAAGGAGAGTGTTCCTAGCTGCTGCCACATTGAGACCTGAGACCATGTATGGACAAACAAACTCATGGGTGTTGCCTGATGGGAAGTATGGTGCTTATGAAATAAACGAGACCGATGTATTTATTGTTACTGAGAGAGCAGCTCTTAACCTTGCCTATCAGAATTTATCTAGGATTCCAGAGAAGCCAACATGTTTGGTCGAGCTATCTGGTCATGATTTGATTGGGTTGCCCTTGAAATCCCCTCTTTCTATTAATGAGATTATATACTCCCTTCCCATGCTGACAATTCTAACGGACAAGGGTACAGGAATTGTGACAAGTGTGCCCAGTGATTCTCCTGATGATTATATGGCTTTACATGATTTGAAGTCCAAACCAGCTCTCAGGGCCAAGTTCAATGTGAAGGATGAGTGGGTTATGCCCTTTGAGGTTATTCCTATCATCAACATCCCAGAGTTTGGGGATAAATCTGCTGAGAAGGTGTGCATTGATCTGAAGATCAAAAGCCAAAACGAGAAAGATAAGCTCGCTGAAGCAAAGAGGTTGACCTACTTGAGAGGATTCACAGAGGGAACAATGTTGGTTGGAGAATATGCTGGGATGAAAGTACAGGAAGCAAAGCCATTGATCAGGAACAAGCTTCTAGAGATTGACCAAGCGGTTATGTATAGTGAGCCTGAGAAGAAGGTTATATCAAGATCTGGAGATGAATGTGTTGTGGCTTTGACAGATCAGTGGTACATAACATATGGAGAACCGGAATGGAAGAAAAAGGCTGAGGAGTGCCTTTCTAACATGAAGCTCTACTCTGATGAGACTCGGCATGGTTTTGAGCACACCTTGAGTTGGCTGAATCAATGGGCTTGTTCCCGTTCTTTTGGGCTAGGGACTCGTCTTCCTTGGGATGATCAGTTCCTTGTTGAGTCCTTATCTGATTCCACGCTTTACATGGCATATTATACCATTGCTCATCTGTTACAGAATGGGGACATGTATGGTTCAGATACTTTGTTAGTAAAGCCAGAGCAGATGACAGATGAAGTCTGGAATTTTGTGTTCTGTGGTGGGCCATATCCGAATTCATCTGATATCCCTACTTCTCTTCTTACCAAGATGAAGCAGGAGTTTGAGTACTGGTATCCATTTGATCTTCGTGTTTCTGGCAAAGATCTCATCCAGAACCATCTTACATTTTGCATCTATAACCACACAGCTCTTTTGGCCAAAGATTTCTGGCCGTGTGGTTTCAGATGCAATGGGCACATCATGCTCAACTCTGAGAAGATGTCTAAGTCCACAGGGAATTTTAGGACCTTACGCCAAGCTATTGAGGATTTTTCTGCTGATGCCACAAGATTCTCTTTGGCTGATGCTGGGGATGGAATGGATGATGCTAACTTTGTCTTTGAGACAGCAAATGCTGCAATCCTGCGACTCACAAAAGAGATATCTTGGATGGAGGAGGTTCTGTCTGTAGAGAGTTCTTTAAGAAGAGGACCTCCATCTACTTATGCAGATCGTGTGTTTGCTAATGAAATAAACATTGCTGTCAAAATGACAGAGCAACATTACAGTGACTACATGTTCCGAGAAGCTCTCAAGACAGGCTTCTATGATCTTCAGGCTGCCAGGGATGAATACAGGTTCTCGTGTGGTGTTGGTGGCATGAACAATGAGTTGTTGTTACGATTCATGGATGTCCAGACAAGGCTTATAACTCCAATTTGTCCACACTACGCAGAATATGTCTGGAAGGAGATCTTGAAGAAGGATGGGTTTGTTGTAAATGCAGGTTGGCCCGCAGGTGATTTACCTGATCTCACGCTTAAGAGTGCCAATAAGTATCTGCAAGACTCCATAGTGTTGATGAGGAAGTTGCTCCAGAAACAAGTATCAGGATCAAAGAAAGCTAACAAAAAGGGAACTGCAGTTCCTCTTCCCACTGAAGAAAACAAGCCAACAGTAGGCCTGATCTATGTGAATGAGCAATATGATGGTTGGAAAAGGGTATGTCTGGAGATACTCCAAAGCAAGTTTGATAGGGAGACCCGCTCCTTTGCACCTGACCAAGAGATATTGGAGGCACTGCAAAGGAGTGAAATTGGGAGGGAGGCAAATTTTAAGCAGATTCAGAAACTATGTATGCCATTTTTAAGATTCAAGAAGGATGAAGTGCTCTCTGTTGGGGTTCATGCCTTGGATCTTAGGCTACCTTTTGGTGAAATCGATGTACTTGCTGAGAATTTGGACTTAATCAAGAGGCAGTTGGGCCTTGATCATGTAGAAATTTTGTCTGCTACAGACCCTGATGCTGTCAGAAAATCTGGATCGCATGTAACATTGTTAAATCAGAATCCACCTTCCCCTGGGAACCCAACAGCAGTATTTCTAAGTAGGTAGGACTTCCATTGTTAAAAACTTATTCATATTTAGTAGCATCAATATTTATYAGGTTCATCATTTTTAGCATTTGATTTATTTTGATGTTGAATAATCTCTTTCTTCCTAGTTTGTTGGATTTTTGATGTTTTGTTTTTGTTATTATTCTTCTGCTTTAGTGGATGTATGGATCTTGTTTTTGACAATGTCGCTGGCATTCATTTCTTACTACGACTGTTCTAATATGACAAGTGTTCTTTCTAACTATGTTCATTGGGTTATTGGAAACCTATCTATGCTTTAGATCAACTTGTGGAAGCCATAGGTATGAATTGGTTCTTTATGCCTTAATTTAATTGATTGATATTCTAGTAATCTTATCACCTTGGTTATTGGGATTTTTTTGTGGTTATTCTTTTGTGAGCTCTATTTTCCTTCTGAGGTCTATAGACTGGTGCATTCAATTTTTAAAAGGGAAAAAAAATCTTGGAGTTGGGTGAGGTAGCTCTTTGTGGCTTGTATTGATAAATGGGACTGAATTGTTTAGAGAAACAGAAAAAGGGTGTTGGGTTATTTTTTCTTTCTTTATTGTAATGCAGTTTGTGTATGCATAATTGTAAAGATTAAAGGGGTATAACTCTATGGGTCCATGGGTGCATCAGCATTATATTTGAGAAGCAAAATCTTTGGCTCATTGCACGGAGGCTTGGTTTTACTGGTTACAAGGATTTATGAATGCTTTGGCGGACTCTTTAGCTAGAGGGGGTGTCCAAAAACAGGACTTGTATAGGGGTCTAAAATTCAGTGCAGGTCTGTTCATCCTCATGAGATTTTTTGGATGGCCATTTCTTGGGGGTAGCATGAAAACAAAATTTCTTTCAGAGCATTATTCCTTTTGTTTTTTGCTTGATATTCCTTTTGTGGTTTTGGTCGCTGGTTTCTGGTTCTGACAGTCCAACTGTCTGTCTGATTTCTGAGTCTGATAATACTGCTATTTGTATGATGTAATCCTTTTCTTAATTGATGTTTTCCCCTATTTGCTACATCTTTCCATATTTTCTATGAAAGTAATCTCTCAATCTAGTAAAATAGAATATAATCATAAAAGATAGTTGAGTTTTCTGCTCTTCAACAATAAAGAATGGAAGAAATAAGAGGAATTGACAGTCAACATTTAGTCCTCATAAAGTTACTTATCATACATACTGATTGTGGGAAGTCAGTGGTAATGTTTTCATTTTTATCATTCTCAGGTAGGGTGCTATTTTTGTCATTCATCAAGATGTATAAATATAGAATACAGAAAGAAATCTCCAAAACTGATAGGCGGCATAAATAAGAAATGTAATTATGTAGAACATACTTTTTCTAAAGGTTCGAGGATATTTAGTAACAAATTAACAGTAGGTGGAAGGATCTTTTTACTGTTTTTTTTCCCATCATATGACTTGTGCACTTGAATTGCACAAAACTGATGCACCTCTCAGGACATAAGTGCATCTAAAAAGGTTGAATTGATTGTGTTAATTATACCACTGTAATTGTGAAATTGCTTGTTAAATTGATTGAGTTATTTTGTGAAGCTAATGTGGAAAATTGTTTCTTTTTGGTGAATTACAGGTTAAATGCTGATATGCAATGATGTTAAAATCCATTCTGCTATGTATTTTTTGAGGTACTTGTTTCACTTAATTAAGTATTCTTAAGCTTTTTATTTCAAAATTACCCATCTGGGAAACGAGTTTTGGTTCAGAAACTTTATATTTATTTTGCTTTATGGTTTTAGTGGCAAGTGCAATTTCATCTTTCAATACTCACTCAGTTTAATTCCTTGTCTTGAGAAGAAAGTGTCCAATTTCTTCACTCTCCTGTCTTGCAAAATGAATAAAATAGCAGAAAAGGCACACATGTTGCACAGACTAGGCTTTCAATGGTTTTTTCCAGTATGTGCACAAGATATTCATTGAAAAGGAGGACAAAAAACGATTGATTATTTTAGCAAGATTTATTATCAGTTTTATTTGTCTCTTAGTGATTGTTCTCATTAATTTTTCTGATTATTTACATATCAAGAGTATCTATATTAAGAGTAAAGATGGTATAAGACTAAGAAGAGGGGTCGGCTAATGTGGAGATGTGTAAGGGCTGCAGTAATTTGGACCATATGGGAAGAAAGGAACTCAAGGCTATTTTCAGATAAGGAGAGAAGCAGAGAAGCTGTCATTGAGGTTGGCTTTTAACAGAGCAGTGCACTAGTTGAAGTCAGTGGAACTTTTTTAAGATGTTCCAATGGAAGCCTTTTCAAGTAACTGGAATGAAATTGCTTCCTCAGCTCCAGTTGAGGAGGCCTGCTGGAAACCTAGGTCAATCAGGAATTGGTGGAGTTTTTAGGGATGAGGAAGGAAATACAATTGCTCTATTCTCAGGTCCAATTGGGGTGGGCAATTCCTTAAGGGCTGAGATTTTTGGTGGCTGTGGAAGGGGCAATGAGGGCAAAGAACTTGAACATTAGAAAGTTGATTATTGAGGGAGGCTCTTAAGTTAGTGGTGGACTGGTTAAAGGGAGAAGAGCATTTTTTGGAACTACAGCAATGAAAGGAAGCAACTCAAATGGCTAACAAAAGATATTAAGCCAAGGTGTCTTGAGTCAGAGGAAGTGCCAACTTCTTTGCAGATGGGCTAGCAAAGCAAGGGATGAATAGAGCCTCTGTTTTCTGGGCTCAATTTACGATGTGTCAGCTTTGCTTTTTAGAGGTTATCCTTCCTTTTCCTTATAATTGTCTTAGTTTTTCTAATAAAGCTTACTCGTTATTGATAAAAAAAAAGATGGTATGAGACTTACAGGATAAAAAGAAAAGAATGCCTCTAGTATCTTCCATTTAGTTACAAGTAGCTTCCTTGCTAACTCAATCTGCTCCCTACACCAATCTCACAGAATACTGCAGAACATCTCCTGTACTCTGTATATTGTCATTCATGGGGAGATGTTTCCAATGCATGGCTGCAATGTGCGAGGTTGGTGTGGGGAGCGCTTTGTGGGCAGAAGATTCAATTTCCTTTCTTGTTCCCTCATTGCAAACTCAAGGGACTCAAAATACAACATTAATGCGTACCCTTGATTGGCAGGTCCTAAAGACAGTTTTACATACTACTTCCCTTACATATTTATCATACTAACATTCATCTGAGTTTTCTCACTAATTATAAGTGTTCTTTTGTTTTACTTGATTTGGAACTGTGGAGATAGAAAGAGAAATCAGGGCAGATTTTACTATGGGGTTTCTTTCTGGTCTTTCCGTGTGATAATTAAATAGTCTCTAAACATGTTTTTAATAGACCGGGTCACTTACCAAACAGTCTGTCTTTAAAGTCAAGGGCCCAAACAGCACCAAAATACAAGGAGTAAAGGACCAATTAAATCGAACACAACCGGTGAATGTTCGTATTCTGGTTGGTGGGTGAAAGTAAGGTTTCCTAACAAGCCAAATTTCAATGAGTGTTGCAAATTTGGTTCCAAAGAAGTGCTAACTGCTAAGCTCAGTTTTCACGGTAAGTTTCAAGCTTTTATATTTAGCGTAGCGTATCCGCTCGCTGACGAAGTGATGATCCAGTAGTTGAAATGCTCACTCGGCATCCCAGGCTTTGCGTGGCATGAGAGGTTCTCTTGTATTTCAATTTCGATACTTGCCCCATGATTTGTCACCTAGGCTGGTGGTAGTTGCTTAATGTATCTGGTGAATCCCGATCATCTTCAGACGCTATCATACAGCTTTCAACACGATCACCAATATTAGGGCTGTAAGTCCGGCCAAGTTAGGTCGGGTTGAGGTCAATCTTAATCCAATTCTAAGTTTTAAACCCCCAACCCTAACCCTAACCCTAACCCAACCCGGCCTTCAAACCAGCCTACCCAACCTTAACAACACTAACCTTAATTAAATTCTTTCACCCCTAACCCAATTCAATTCAACTCAAAGTCAACTTCGGGTTGGGCCCAACCCAACCTTCTTCCCATTCCTTAAATTTCGTGGAACTTCTTAATTTTAGATCTTAAATCAACTTTCATTACATATATTAATCCTATGTTTTATTAGTATTTGTTTATTGGTTCTTTTAGTACAAAATTCAGAAAAAAAAAGTGTTTTAAATGACTATAGTTTATTTTGATGACTTATAATAGATCTTTTATGGGCAGCAAATATGGGTGTCCAACAACAGAGATGAGATAAAGAATAAAATATTCAGAAAACATAAAATATGTTATCAAGGTTTTAATATTTTCAATTAGAATTAAGTGAAGTGATTATTTTAAATGAAATAAATGATAGTGTGCGGTGGTGGCTATACAACTATCATGCATCTAAACAAATCAATTTTGATATAATCATATATATTTATATATGATATGTACTATAGAGTCAGGTTTGGGTTGGGTCGGGAAGGGGTCAACCCTAGCTCAACCCGAAATAAAGTCGGGTTCATAAATTTTAATCCTAACCCTAATCCGAGAATCAATCCAGCTTTACCTAATATAAACTCGGATTGGGTGCAACTTGGGTGGACTCAATCCGTGGGCCTGGGCCAAAAAATTTGGACCTAATCTAAACTCGGATTGGGCTTGGGTTGTGGCCCTGGCCCCTGGGTAAGTAGGCCTGTATCTAATTTGAGCCCGATTTGATCCAACCTGAATCTGCATTTTTGTATGTGTTATGCGTTTATAATATATATTACGTATGCTGTATGCATATTACATATTTATACTACTATATACACTAAAAAATATATTTACATTTACATCATGTATATTATTAGTTTACATTCACATGGGTGCACAAATATATACATTATGTAAATGCATACATGTTATGCATTTTATTACTATAAAAGCATTTCTTAAAAATTATGTACATTTGCATTCATTAATGACATTTGTGCGTGTTATCAATCTATTCTACCTGAAAATTGAATTAAGTGACAGATGAATTATATTAAAAGAAACCTTCAAAGATGATTAACCCAGCCTGAGTTGGGTTGAACTCGGGTTGGGCCTACTTAGATTTGTGAACTCAGACTTGACCTCGAGTTGGGCTAGGCCTGGACCTGAGGAGACCTGGGATTGGGCCTGGGTTGACCCTTAACCTGACCAATCCGCCCAAGTTGTACCTCTAATCCCCATTTAGTGTTCTGTATATGTAAAAACCACGTGGGTCAACAGAATTGTATTAAACATACTTGAGATGTGCAGGTCTAGAATCTAGATCACCTTGGAAGCTGTGTTTGTTTATAGCAGCATCTTATTGGTGGCAGATCCATACTCCTTTTTTTATACAAGTCGAGACATTTGACAACTTTCCTTGACACTTGACAATAGACCTGTTCATGGGCCGGGCTTGGGTCGGGCTTTTACTGTGTATTAACAAATTTTTTTAAGGCCCGAGCCCGAGCCCGGCCCGACCATCGGGCCTACAATTTGGGCCCGAGCCCGGCCCTCATAAAAAGCCCGAAGCCTGAGCTTGGGCCCGGGCCCGAAATTTAGCCTATATTA